TATTAAAATTTTTAGCACAATATGCTCATAATCTAGTATTAGAACAATCTAACACCCTAAAAAATCCCATGTGTCCATTAGTGGTCACTCTCTTCCCACCTTCTACTATAGTCAAACACCAACTGAATTTCTGCCTCTATAAATTTATTTTTCCAGACATTTCGTGTAAAAGGAATCATTTGATATGACTCATTTACATGTAGATTCTTTCACTTAGCATGGTTTTTAGATTCATTCATGCTATTACTTATCATTACTTTGTTCCTCTTTATTTCTGAATAGTGTTCTATTATATAGACATATCACATTTTATTTATCCATTCACAGTTTGATGACTGTTCTCACTTTTTAGTTATTGTAAGAAGTGCTACTATAAATTCTTTAGAGTGTGTAAAGCTCTTAGTTCCTTACTGTTCAGGGTTTTATGTGAATTAGTTAGGATCTTTAAAAATAAGAAAGGTGTTGTGCTATCATATTTCCCTTTCCTGCATTCTCTTGCATATGCTGCAAGAATGCATAGTATTAGTGGTTGATTTATTGCTTGGTAGGCCAACAAAAGAATGAATGAAAGGAATTATATAATTTCCACATGCTATTAAAATAGTCTAAGAAATGATAGACTTAGGAGTGAAAACTTCTAAGTTTTAATGAAAACAAAGTAGAATTATTAACATGCCAGTTTTTTACATTTGGATAATTTCCTGAAATGCCTCAAAACAATTTCCTTAAGACAAACCCTGGATTTTTACCACTCTTTTTTGAGAAAATCAGGTAAGGAAAAACAATGTATGGGAGCATGTGCTATGTCCCTCTAATATGTACAAACCAATCACAGAAGATCAATTTTTTCAGTAAAAATTAAAACTTTGAATTTTAGAGGTTAAATTAAGGCTAAGGATTTTGCACTCATCTGTCCAATTTTGTGAATGACTGGCATAAAATGGGCTGAATTAGGTGTCCTTTCTAAGTATGAATTCAGTACAAGCTCATGGACTGAAAGGCAGTGTGATTTCCCTATAGTCTTAAATGGATTAATGGAGTGTTCTACAGGAAATAGGAATCAAATCTCTTTACAGATGGAAACTGGAGTTAGTGGGAATACAGCCTGTGAGCTCAATAGCATGCATTCATGGTAATGATAGCAGGCTGTGAGCAATTCACCAAGCACAATCAAGTGAAATGGAAGGCACTCCAAACCTCACCAAGATAGTCCTGTAAACAGGTCAACAAGTCAAAAAAAAAAAAAATTATCAGAAAGGAAGATTAGGCCAGTGCTGGGAAAGGAGGAAAATAATTCAATAAACAAATCATAAGTCCTACTGGAAAAAACAGCAGTTTGTCCCATCTGCCACATCCATCTCTGAAACATTTAATTCAAATATTAGCATAAAATTATAAAAACTGTTATGATATAGTCTATAGGGAAAACTAGGTCAAGTGCAGAACAACCTTCTGTGTTTCTTTGGCTGTCTCATCTTTATACATGTGTTACTTGCATACATACTTAGGTAAAAATGCACTGATGCCATTTCATTAATGGTTTCTCTATTAAGCATGTTGGCATTATACAGCTTTGATTTTATAATACCCTATCATGAAGAAGCATCTAACCTAAGAGCCTTTTGAAGATCTTTGAGAGATTATTTCAAAGGATACTAGGACACCAAGGAAAAGTAAAAGAAGATACACAAAAGTAAAGATATTGATCAGAAGACATACAGACAACTTTTTAAAATGATTGCCCTAGAACCGAAATTATCCTTTAGGATATCCTACAGCTATGTCCAAACTGCAGAGCACGCTGCTTTTGCACCCCCTCCCATACCTTTTCAAGTGAAGAATCGGCTTTGACCAGATAGAAAACATATATTGTTAATGTATATAAGTACAAAATTCACTTTATAAATTTTTATTATGAAGTTTTTAAAAAGAGGTAAGAAAAAAGGGGTGGGCTGCATATTGGACATGGCTGCTGGAAAATCTTTTGTCAGAAATCTTCTCTGTTCCAATATGAAGAGTTTTTTCACATGCTGTTGTTAAGAAAACCAAGATGATAAGTTTTAAAAGCTTGTTAATAGTGCCTGAAGTTGTAGAGCTCTAACAGAGTTCCTATTTTCAGGTTTGCTGTGTCCTGGTATCTCTGCTTGTATGATCTGGTGTGCAGTCAACTTGTTTCTTGGAAGGGTTTTCTACCCTAAATTTTAACTGGAAAAGTCATCAAGAAACTAACCATGAATAGATTTGAATATCACTTGTATTCTTGGAGTGCTTACTAGAAATTTGCTGACTGCACTGAATAATAAACATGAAAATAAACTGCGGAGAATATAAAAAAAGGTGGAAGCTGCTTATTTTGATGATGGAAATAGATTCACAGTAACATTCTGTAGAAATGAAATTGATTTTATCTAGGCTTCTTTATAAGTTGAATTTCTGAATATTTGTAAGTCCTTCTTAGGTAGATATTGATGTATAAGTGGATGCTGATCTGTTTGCAGAGAGGCCACTTAGGATCAAGTTCAGTCTTGTTGAAACGTAACAGTTAAGTCATTGTTTTTGGTGCTGATGGAATACTTATTGAAAATATTAGCAAGCTGAGGGGTATAGTTGCTCCACATGCACACAAATTATTGTTTATAATTCACTTTTAAGACTATTGCCTCTTCGTACACTAAACAATGCTAATATTTATCATCAAAGAAACACAATTAGTAAAATTAACTGGTTAGGGTTACTTTTAAATGAAGTCATTTCTTTATGAGAATTGAACTTGAATTCATAACTGCATTGCATTATAACAAGAAAAATTTAGCATTTATCTGTGACTGCTAAAATTTTCACTTTCTAGTGTAGTACCAGAATAAACAGGTTAAAAGATAAAGAATAGTATCTTTTTAAAATCCTGAGAAATTGATTTTCTTCACAATATTCTTTCTGAGGCCTAATTAATAAACATATAAGCATTCTTCCCTGTTTCCTGATATTAATTTCATCTTTAGTTAAGAGCTGTTGCAAAGATTGATGGCGTGTGTTAAAGGGTTTGGTACACTTATAAATTTTCTGTTCTTTTTTATTACTGATGCCTTAGAAGCCACTTGAATTACATATTTACTTTTTAAGAATTAGAGTTTTGTAATCTCCATTTAATTAATGCTGGGTTGATAGTGCTTCCCGGGCAGTATTATCTACTTGAATCATTACATTTTTTTGCATGCTCTAAAGAAGCAGCTCTCCAATTTATATGTCTTATTAATCATCTACTTTACTATACTATAGATATCATCCAATGAGCCATGTATTCACATTAAGCTCTTTAAAATTTACTGATTATGGAAGAGGATTACATGCTTCTTCCATTTTCTAATCTTTGTTCTCTTCCTCTGTTGCTTCTTGTATCTAAGTATAAATACATTCAACAACTACCTAACGACACTGCTAATTTCTATACCAGTAGGCTTTGGGCTTCATTTCCATCAAGTAATGGTAAATTAGTGATTTGAATTTGGAGCTTTGAGTATGTAATCATTTTATTAGTTACTATATCTAATGTCCACAAAGTGTACTTTCTTCAAAATGATGTGCTTAACATTTGTCCTGCAGTCATAGTCAAAGTTTTACCAAATAGCTAGAATGATATTTTACCTGAAGTATCTAAACATAGTGACTATACCAAACATACTTTCCCATCTTTTAATGCAAATTTCATGGTACCTGCAGTCAGAGAGAGATTCAAAGATCTGAGTTGACCAAAAGAGAATCCACCGAAGGGCTCTCTAATGCAGATTCATGCAGTTACCACACTTAGTTCTGCAGTGCTAAGTTCTGAAAGTCTTTGCATTTAGATGGAAAGCAATTCATTATAACCAGCTCATACATCGATAAGAGAAATGTCAGCAAATTCCCTGAACTCCTAAAGAGCTGGAGTGGAGGTTGAGGGAGTGTATGACAAATACACAGAAAATACAAAAGGCTGCTCAAGAGAAAATCTACAGTAAATGAATACATATTTGGATTTCCAAGAAAATGAATAATTTAGGAAAAAAATGCAGGAAAAGTACTCACTAATAAATTCCACCAGGCAGGGCTATTATAAATATAAATGGTTTAAGGTAATCCTTCTCCACAGAGCCTGTATAATTCAGTAATGCAAATTTCTCCAACAAATTTAAAAGGCACCCACATAATGTTCAGCAAGAATAAATTTTGAATAACTTTATGAATACAAATACTTCTAAAAAATATTAAACATTAGTTTTGGCTTTCAAATTGTGCAGAGTTCTAACTTATATCTTCATTGTACCTGCACTGCTCTTTTAGGAAATTGATTCCAGTATGAGAAGGAAACAATAGATTGGAATATCTGAAAATATCCTTTGCTACATCAATTACTTTTCATTTATTTGAGTGACTCCAACGTGGATGGCTGTTAGCAACATAAAGTGTTCTTTTTTGGCTTTTTATCCACTCTCATCATTTCTACATTTGAACTTTTAATTTTTTATTTAGTGTTGTTAATGCTCTGATTGGAATATTTTCCAATCATATGCAAGGCCTTAATAATAAAGCCAGAGAGAGGGGATTTAAAACTCCCAAAAAGAAATCAGTGTTTGGAGAAAAAACAGATTTTTTATTTACCAAAACTAAAATGAGTAAATCCTGAGACTTGCACTTATGCCCTGAAAAAATATATGACAAATATCTCTTACTGATGTCACAAAATATTTTTGTGTAAAGTTTCACAGTGCCAGGGCATTTTAAATTTGTGTAAGGATGCAAAGCATGTTCTTAATAATGTTTACCTTTGCAGAGGAGAGGTAAGAATGCAGGAAGCTTCTCAAAAGAAATTTTACAGTAAATGAGTAGATATTTGGATTTCCAAGAAAAAGAATAACCTAGAATGTGAAATTTCTTTAAAATGTCCAATTTTTAAAAAGAATGTGTTACAATATTGTGATAGTAATAGTTCATTTTCAAATGTCTTAAAATGATCTTTACAACAGGTGTTCCAAAATTCCCAAAGGAAAAAATTGAGCCTCTGGATGTAGAAGAAGGAGATCCCATTGTTCTCCCATGCAACCCTCCCAAAGGCCTCCCACCTCTGCACATCTATTGGATGAATATTGGTAAGCAGTGCTCCCCATCAATAACATGGCACTGTAATTTCATATGTTGTGTAAATAACAGTCCTTAGTTCTAAATATAAACTGAAGTGTGTATGTGAAAATACCAGAAAAGGACTAAAGATATCTCCTCATTTTATCATATTTGAAATAAGAGAGGCTACTGCCATAATACTATATGTCCTTGAGGAAAATGCATCTGGATTTTAAACCACTTATTTATCTTTGAAACATAAGCCATATAAGAATTGAGTATGGCTTGTGCTGGTGTGCTACCTTAGTATTTCTACTTTATTAATATTCTGCCTGCTAAACACAGTGAATCACAAAAAAAATTTGGTTAACTTCTTTCATAATTTTCCAAAAACAATTGTTGACCCTTGATATGAAACTCCAGGTTCTTGTAAAGTTCACCTCTAGCATGAGCCACAGCAGTGCTCCTTAGAAGGTCCACACTATGGCTCTCACAGAAAAACGGTGCTTGTACAGAACTTAGAAGAAAGTGAATGAAATTGTCTTGGATGAAGTGAAAATTCCCAGACTCTAGTCATTCTAAAACTTTCCATTCTGCATCCAGGACAAGGAGGGTGAGGAGGTCAAAGAAAATGAAAGTAAGAATCAGAAAGTAAGAATGTGATTTGACCAGTTTTCAAATAAGCCAATGTAGATCCAGAGAGCAGAGGTAAAGACCTAGAGGGTCAGGGAGGTGGAATGCTCAAACTAGTGTAAGTCAGTGGGACTTCTTTGGTTAACGATAAGAAGCTTATACCCAGGAAGGTTTTCCTATATTTTTGACTGCCCTTCACTTATTGCTCCTCCCTCAGACTTGAGAGAAATAGGAGGAGCATACAAGAAAAATCAAATCAAGTGAAATAACATAAAAGACATAAAAATGAAAAAAGAGATAAGGAATCATAAAGGGCGATTGCTTATTTCGATGACAAGATATTTCTTTTCAGAATTAGAACATATTGAACAAGATGAAAGAGTATACATGAGCCAAAAGGGAGACCTGTACTTTGCAAATGTGGAAGAAAAAGACAGTCGGAATGATTACTGCTGCTTTGCTGCATTTCCAAGATTAAGAACGATTGTACAAAAAATGCCAATGAAACTAACAGTTAACAGTTGTAAGTCCACATAATTTATTCCATTGTGCATGGTGAATGCAAATTTGTCTATAATTTCATCCTGGCTGAAGCCACTTAAACCTGGGTTGGTATTTTCCGTCATTGTTTAGTTCAACTCTAGAGACTTCATCCAGATGAAAGAGACATCTGCAGCTGCAAATCCACAGTAGCGCTGTTTCTGGCAGCCAAAAAATCAAATCTCAATTCACAGTACAAATGTGTTTCTTTTGGCATCTGCAAGATCCAGGCATTTTCCATGGGTAAAGTACAGAATGAAATTCCAGCGTTTTCCAATCAAGTCTCAGGCATTGATTCACTGTGACCTTGGATAAACTAGCAGACTTAGAATGGGGGTAAATTTTTTAAAAGTCAAAAAGTAATCAATGTTAATATTTTTATAACAGAGAAGCTTTTCTTTATTCTTCTCAAATTAGCAATATTATTTTACTTGATTCTTGTTTCTACTGGATTCTGCAAATGCCAATCTGGGTTCTCAAATGGAGAAAAGCAATTAGTGGGAAGAAGACTCATAAGATTCAAAGTAAAGAAATGATCCCAGCAGTTCCCTGACTGTACAATTGGCCTTGGTAGTTGAAAGTTGGCATTATCATTTCATTGTCTGATGTTTTTCTTTGCTATGCATTGATACACAATGCCAAGTCTTCACTATAACATCCTTTCAGTAATCTAATTTCTTTTTAATGGATTTATAACTTTAATATTTTCCACCTGGTTTAATGTGTAGTGATTCAAGATTCAGCTTATTTAAAAAATTTTCACCCTATGTAAACCTGTATTTCCATAGACAATGTTCTAGTGAAGCATGGTCCTACCTCATTTTTTAATTCTCTAGAGAGAAATATTTGGCTTTTCATTCTTTACTGATATCAGCATCTACCATTATGTTCGTGTTTTTTTTTTCTTTCATTTTTTGTTTCAGTAAAGCATGCTAATGACTCAAGTTCATCCACAGAAATTAGTTCCAAGGGTAAGTTGGACATGTGTAATGTTGGCATTTATGTTATCTTTAAGTAGATCATTATCATCTCTGAATTATAATGTTTTCTTTATTACCTTTATGAGTTTATAAAATGTTAGAATTTCTGTTAAGGAAAACCCCTTGGCAGAAGGTCTAATTGTTTCTCATCTCCTTTTAAACATATGCAAAGGGAGTGACATTTATAAATATATAACTATATAAATATAATGGTATATTTACCTATACTATAATTTACATCAATAAATTGGTATAAGTATAGATATAGATATTTAATTGAGAAGTTATTTTGGGGCTCTCAAAATATCTCACATGTTGTATAAGATTGATTGCTTTATGTGAAAAATGATAAAAACCATGGTAAGTGATGAGAAGTAGAGAAATTCTGGGTTTAAGAAAGTTAAGTGTTGAGTTTTTTTTCGCAAGACTTATTGGAGCAGTTCATATGCCACTATACATTTGGACTCTCTGAAAAAAAATATAGTTTGCAGTATTTTGCAAGATCATTTGTGTATGGAACCTTTTACATTCAACTTTATTTTATCCATAGAATATCTAGTAGAAGTTGTGTTTATATAATATTCCTAAGTAAACCTGAATTATACAGTAGGCTAGTTTTCTATAATGATAAGAATCATATACATGAATGCAAGCAATATTTTTATATTATATCATGTGGAAAAATGTCATGTTAGATTCCTAATGTATTGGTGCCATCAGCAGAAGTGGACAAAGGCTCCTCTTGGAGTACCCTCCATTCTAAGGTGGGTTGATTCTTTCGCAGTATCATTTTCTTTCTCAGAGCACTCAATAAAAATCACTGCAAACAGTACATGTTTGGTAATTATTTCTCAGTAGATATATAATTATAAGAAAGTTATTACAAAATATACACTGTTCTCTGTATTCCTCTCTTATAATGATAGAATATCAGGTCTTTTTTTTTTCCATTGAGGGTAAAGTTGCCTTGATATTGAATGAGAAAAACACAGCTTATGGTAAATTTTGGAATGAAAGCAAAATTTGCAGTAAAAATGGAAGTCTACTCATTTGTCATTGTATTTGAAAGTTATTAATAAAAAGACATAGAACATATTAATTTGTAGTTAGTAAGAATGCTTGCTAATCATTTCCTGAAACTGATTATCTTTGAAGGCCTGGTACTATAAAGTGTTGCCAGAAGAACCTGAAAAGTTCATAGATATTCAGCGTCTACCATAGACTCCCTCAATCAGAATTCCTGAATAAACTCTAGGAAGCTTTTAATAGGAATTGTACCCAATACTTAAGCAGATTAAATTAAAGAAAATCACAGAGGTATCAGACATGACAAGGCAACATTGAAGTGTAGAATACAAATTCATAGACTATCAATTAACTTAAGGGTTTGGTCAAGAAATTATTTGTCTTTACTAATATTTGAACTTCTGAATGAGAACAAATCATATAAGTCATAAACTTTACAAAACTTGGTTTTACATATAGTTAACACATCTTATGGTCATCCTGTGCTTCATAGGAAGAAAGAAAAGCAGTATATTTCGATGGAAATATATTGAAATGTATATATATGCTTATGAGTGTACAGTACACAAACATACCTAGATTCACACGCTTTCAAGCAAAAATTTTAACTGAGTTTGAAAAAATCAAACCTTTCCGTTTTCTTTTATAGCAAATTCAATCAAGCAAAGGAAACCGAGACTGCTGTTGCCTCCCCCTGAGAGTGGCAGTGAGTCTTCTGTCACCATCCTCAAAGGGGACACTCTGCTGCTGGAGTGTTTTGCTGAGGGACTGTGAGTAGCCTGAGAACTTATCCATCCAATGTGGTGAACAATGCGGCATCAATTAAGAATGCATTTTTCACATATGTAAAAATTATTTTTCTCAAAAATAAACCTGTTAACTATATATCTGGAAAGTAATTTGTACTTTACAGACTTCAGGCTATGACTGATATTTACTTATAATTGGATCTCTCAGTCCACTTGTGATATTATAAATGAAGGAACAAAGTCTTCCTGGTTAAGACAGCTAAGTCTAATGCCCTTATTAGATCATGACTGTGTAGGTGTCCAACCCAATTCTACTTACCTGTTTTTTCGTTTTCTACTCCCTTGGCTTGACCCATTCCCATTTTCTACGTTACTATCTTTGCTGCCTTTAAATTTCCGAAGACTCTATTTATTTGTTTGTTACCCTGTTCTCCTTTTCATTCAAGAAGGCCCAGACCATGGAATTAATGAGTTTCACATAAAACCTAATTAACTAAATTTTGCTCACATGTGAAAAAGGAATGCATTTTTCTAGTCTTCCATGTAAGCTCTAAGGGATCTCACTAAATCATCTGCTGAAGCCATTACCTGTATTCAATAACTGCAAGAAGTCTATGTAAACTGGGGCCATTCTTCTAAGGCTATTAATTAAAACATTAATGTTGGACAGGAAAACTCCCCTACTTGTACCACTTTCCCTCCAAATTTAATGATCTTCCATACCATTGAGAATGCTGTGAGAAAAGGCATTGCTTCTTCTGGGTATCCAAGTTTATTCATTTGAACATTAAACAGTATTATAAACTTTAGAGAGACTGAGATTTGACTTTTCCAAATCATTTTCATTCTTAATTTAGTGTACATTCTGAATAACTAGCTTTAAATTAGATTTAGAAGAAAAGGGGTGGATTTTAATGGTTTTACAAATCCTATGCTTTTTAACTTTATCCTCTCGTCCAAGAAAAATACCCAGGTTGCTTGTCTGCCTTAAATTGCCAGTGCACACTCACACTAAGTTACATAGATGTGTCATGATGCAACCTCTCTCAAGAAGTTTGGTCTCTGTGTTTTTTAGTAGATTAAAGTCTGAAGGTTCAATTTGAGTCATGATAGTGACTTGCTCAGCTGGCTGCATTCATGTGTCTGCAGTGGTACAAATTACATTCTTTCAGGGTTCCTCACTATTTTGGGTTGACTCTTGGGTAGGGCAAGTGTTTCAGTAGTACATTTGCTCTTATTTCCCACAATGCCTTCATTTACATGTTACATTGGCTCCAAATGCTCAAGTTGTCTTCAAAATAATAGAAATGTTCTCTCCTATTTTGGAGAAATTGAAGTGTTATGAAGCAGTATATAAAAAATAGACATCAATTTGTGTCAACTTTGGGACATGAAGATTTCTTACACAGTTTCATAAGAGATTTCACCTGAAATGGTTTCTTCTTGCTTGCAGTGTGTTTTGATTAGACAATCCTACCTAGTTTTTCGCCAGCTGACAGTGTACACTGTAAAAAGTTTTTTAAATATTAAAAAAATTTCTAAGAAGTTTAAAACACAAAACTTCTACACCAACAAAAATAATAACTAAAACATTGTACTGTTGTTCTGTCAAGAATTATGTTTTGTATTTTATATACATTAACTCACTGTACCCTCAACACATTCATGACTATAATTATTCCCTTTTGAGGATTAGGTAAATGAAGCCCAGAACACCCACTTGGAGAAGTGAACTCACTTTTCTAAGCTTAGTGGAAGGTGAAACTGAATTCCATCCTGCCTCCAGAAACTTAAACTACCACTAAATTTAACTTATTTTTACGTAATATTTTAATCACATGAATGATTTGTTGTAAAGATGGGGAAATATATGAAGAGTGGTATTACTGCTGAATCTGAAGTTGTATGAAGTAGATATTTCAGCAAATGTTTAATAATTTTGAAGATATTGATAATATTAATTAAAGCAGGAAAGCTTTTAAGGGGATATCCGTGTAGAGGTGCCGAGAGTCTATAGATTCTTTGCGCATAGATTTTGTGGAAATTGGGAAGAATTAAATGACACTTTGACCCTTATTATGAGACAAAAATGTTCATACTCTGAGTGAAAAAGAAGTGAAAAGATAATTCACAGTCACTGATAAGCTGTGAAATGTCAATAGAGTTAATATGAATTTAAGCTGGGTATGATTCTATTGCAAGATATTATGTTATAAACAAGAAGTAGAAGAAGAAAGTTGGTGAGGTAAGAACCTGAAAACAAATTGAAGATTGAAAGATAGTGTATATTTATGATACTTGCATGTGGAAAGATATTAAGCAATATATTTTCCACTAAAACATCATTCCCCAAATGCTGTTGGGAAATGTTCTTTAAAAAAAAGAAATTGGCAAAAATATAGCTAGAAATTCTTTTAGTGATATAAACCTGTCCTTAGGTAATCTCTCATATTCAGCGGACACTTAAAATCATTTTATTTGATTCTTTGATGTGAAAGATATTTAGAAGATTGGTAATTTTCAAGACCCAGAGGGTTAAAAAAAACCAGATCTAACAGAAAGTGAGATGCTTGCACTATTAAAGTATGGACTCATGAAAAACTCCTCTACTGAAGCAACTAAGGTCCAGAGCAGTCTGTGGCTTGGCAAAATGCCATTTTGACAGATGGAGTAAAAGGTAAAAAGTTAGGAGACTTGGATTATGTGTCCTGTTAGGCGATGTTCTCAGGAAGTTAGCAGCTAATACCCCGTCGCATGTGCCTAAAGCAGGATGCTGTGTGCTCTGACCTGATCAAATACATTTCACATCTGTAAGGCAGATAAGTCTTTGAGCCTTGAAAGAAGAAGAGCAGAACAGATGGACGTGAAGCGCCTTCATCTTTACCTCCAAAAATTTGCATAATGATTGAATAATTTTAACCATTACCTATAAATAATACACAATTTGTGATAATTATTTTATTATTAACTAACAACTAGTGGGAACTTTGGTTACAAGCATGTATCTAAGGATATACTATCAGGAAGGACACAGATTTTTATGAAAAGCAAAAAAATCTAATAGAAAAAAAACAGGTTTAAGGTCATTTATTATTACAATGACCTTAATTGAATTAGGTTCTTAGGACTACAAATTTCTTACTAGCAGAAAGATTATAGTAATGTTCGCCTTTACAGTATACTCAATAACTTACAGCTATTAGTAATAAAAAGGAATACAGTAAGAAAAAAGTAATTTCAGTGAAAATAAAAAAAATTAAGCTACATTCATGTAACCCAACTAGGGAGCAGAAAAGTAATATAATCCTCCCTCATTGCAAGGCAGATATCACTGCTTTCCATGTTAGTTTAAAATCACCTGAGTCCTCTATTTGTCAGGTTTTCATGAGAAAGGATTTTCTTCAAACTGCTTTGCTTGACTCCTTATTTCTCTTTTCATTCCTTATAAAGTGGAGAAGTTCTCATATTAGTTTGTGACAAGTTACTACTTTGGTGTTTGTTTTGCTTTTTGTTTGTGTGTTTGTTTGCTTGGATGAGCTAATCTTCCCAAAGCCAACCCTCTGTCAGGGAGATTCGGTTCTTGCCTCCTTCCCTCTACTCCCCACAGGTGAAAAAGCCACCTGAGTACCAGGGACTGCACCATGCACTTCCACTTGCCCTGGGATGAAGGGGTCATTCCTAATCCAACCGATGCACCTGAGCCACCTTCTCCAATGTCAGTTGCATTAGGATGAAAGGGGAAGGCATGGCACCTAACTGTTCACTATGCGGTCCTTGTTCATCATGTCTTTCAAACTCACATGAGGCAGAGGGCTGTTATCTCTGACCCCTTCAAACGATCCACAGGGAAATTTTAACACTGCAAGAACTATTTTGAAATATTATCTCTATAGTATGGACTCCAATTATTCATCCAGCCACATTTGTTCAGTACTTAGATGTAGTTAAGCCACTTATTAGTGGGAACAGAAGATTTCCAGGAATGTAAACTGTTAAAGAAATCTGTAATGAAAGAGACTTGCTCCAACCCTGACTTCACCACTAAAGATAATGTGTCTGTCTGTCTATTGATATGTCTGACATAATTCAGAGGTACCTGAGAGCATACATAAAACCAACCTGATGAAGAATGTGCCCTGAGGATTTCTGTATTTATTTATTTATTTACAGACCTACTCCACAGGTTGAGTGGAAAAAAATGGGTGGTGATTTACCAAAGGGAAGAGAAACAAAAGAAAACTATGGCAAGACTTTGAAGATAGAAAATATCTCCTACCGGGACAAAGGAAATTATCGTTGTACAGCCAATAATTTCTTGGGAACAGCCAATCATGATTTTCATGTCATAGTGGAAGGTACATTACTTATGAAGATTTATGTTTCTACTCTAATAAATGAATTCATATAACTAGTGGGTTTTTGCCTGTATAATATATGTGTTATAATACCTTAGCAGTTTCAACTTTATCTGTAGTGTGTGCACTGAATTATACTGCATTTCAGTTAATGAGGTTTTCATTTACTCCACTACCCCAGAGCCACATGAAAGGGACAAATGACATGAAAAGATCTTATATTAGGGGTCAAACACAATTTCCATGATTCATTCAAACACTTATTAAATCTAGTATCCTAAATTATCTTATTATGAAAAAATATTTTTACATAAGTTACATATGATGTAGCAATATTAACTCATAACAATATGTAAGAAAGCCAGCTGTGGTAACACATGCCTGTGATACTAGCACTTTGGGTGTCTGAGGCAAGAGTATTATAAGTTGAATTCTCTTAGTGAGGCCTTATCACAAAATGAAAAATAGAAAAAGGGCTGTGAATGCAGCTCAGTGGGAAGGCTTGGCTTCATTACCCAGTACCACAAAAGAAGTAAGAACTTTGGTGGAAGAAAATATTACAAGAAGCCTGAAAAAAGTTTGGTCTTTGTTTCCTAATCTTGTCATTAGCTTGCTGTGTCCTTGATCACTTTATTTCACTTTGGTATTAGTAACTTTCTCATCATTGCATCACTACGACAGAATACCTGACACACAAACATAAAGGAAGAGAAGTTTACTTTGACTCAGGGTTTTAGGAGATGCAGTCTACAATTGGCTGGCTCCAAGACAGAAACAGCTTCATGGAATGAGATGGTGTAGGACACTTGCTCACCTCCTGGCTCCAAAGAAGCAGATGCAGAAGGGAGGAGCCTGAGAGGAGGGTATACCCTCCAGCAACACACCTCTTCTACTGTACCCGAACTATGTTAGCTATGAACTCATCAATGGATGAATCCTCTAATGAGTATAGTGCTTCCATGATCCAGTCTCTTCACAAAAGCCCTACTTCTGAGAACTTGAGACTTTGGGGGTCAATTTAGATCAAAACCATAATACTATTCCTGTTTATTCATCAGAGTAATGAGTGAGTCAGTCCTATTCTAGAGCTAACATTTTGGGGTCTATATCTTGAATAAATGCTTTTCCACATGTTGTCTATGGGGAAATAAGAATAGACTGCATGGTATAAATACTGATTCTGCAAAAGTATATTATGTTCAAATCATCTCTCTGCAAATCAATTAACTGAGATTTTACTATTCTTTGTTTTATTTATAGAAATAGGCAATGATGATATCATTTTAAAAAAAAAGAGTAGTCACAAATGCAGATATGCTTGGCAGATGTGAAGATTATCTAGCCTTCCTGTGAATTTGATTGATGCAAACTGTTTTCTGTGGGTTTGATCACATTAAGACTTTCTATCTATGGTTTATTTGACTGTATTGATTGAATTAATGAAATGATTACTGCATTTGTACTTATTTAGCATTATGTAGGTTTAACTGAAAGGAATTGCCTTCCCCAGCCATTATTTAGTGAACCAGTGCTTAAGAGCTCTCACCAATATTCCCACAAAGCTCACCTCTTAGAGCTTCGGACTGTACAAATGCCATAGAAGTAATGGCTTGTTATTTTAAAAGAAATTCCACACAAGTAAATGTTATAATTGATTTAGTCATGCTCCTGTTCAAAATAATACTGTTTCAAAATCCTCTCTAAAACCTGTATTATTAGTTAAGATTGGAAGAATAGAAAACCAAAGATGAGAATTTCATTGTCTTTCGTTTGAAGGAAAAAAACCCCTATATTGTATATTATACATTAACATCAACATCTGGCAACAATAATATATCTCTCTGACCAATTATCCACTAAGAAATTCAGGGAGAATTAAATTGAATGAAATGCTTTAAAGGATTTCTATTATCTATAATTTTAAGACATCATTTGATGCTTCTGTATAATTTGGCTACATCGTATAACTCCCTGCCCTCCCTCCAGCATACTCAGATACCCACGAACTAAACATGTCTAATTGTTAGCTGCTTCTACACTAAGTTGCTGACTATTGGAAATCCTTCCAGATGGCTGGAACATTGCTATAGTAGTTAATATTTTAACAATCTGGCCATGGTTTTCTTGACTGTAAGACCAATACTTTCAAAAGAATTGCAAGGATGGCAAAAAAATCAAACATATAAAATTAATTTTGCAATTTAAAATGTTGACTCTAGGACTCCAAAGGGATATAGATTTGCTGATCATGTTATTCTCACTATTCATGGAACAGCTATTAGCACTATTGAGATGTAAATAATGTTTTTATGAGGAACCTTCAATCATTTCCCCTTAGTGAGAAACCTCTAAATGTACCTTCACCTGTATGTTTTCAGTCTTTCCCTTTACATATGCATGTGGAAATCAAATTGTGCTCAGGAAGCCTTTCCCCCTCTCTCCAAAGTGAAAACAGTAATATAACCTTCATTAATCATCTAGATGGATGAGTTCAACTTTTATTCAATTTTGTTCTTCTTTCCTATATCCTCTTCTTTCTAGTCTTTTCTTATATCTTGTTTAGAAACCTAAATTAAATAACAAGAACTAGACATATGGGAATAGGATACTACTGTTATAAATATTTGATAATGTAGTCCATTCTGAAAATTCTTTTTGTGCTAAAATAAAAGCATAGCTTGTATTCTGTTCTCTGTGCTATGTCTTCCCTAACACAAAACGCAATCATAAATAGCATGTGCTTGTAATTTAAGCTACAACTTTCTCAGTGTGAAGTCAAACTATAATTAAAATCCTAGTATGAACCAAAACAACCATGGTGTCTTGACTGGGTATAACTATACTTTCTAGTCATCCATGACATGAGTAATTCTAACAGAGAAAAAAAAATATATTAAAATAGCACTAGAAATATTCTACACTCAGAAATCAAAATATAATCTTAATCACATTTCAACAGATTTTTAAAAGCAACTTAATAGCAATCATTTATTAATAATTATATATCCATAATATAATTCAAATTTTTGTGTATTTTAAAAGGATGTCCCATACTCCAGTGCAATTCAATTCTGCTATTGTTAATAAAACCACATTTTCAAAAAGAAATCCTCCTAAAAAGTAACAATTAAAGCCAACTTTTTATGATCCTAATAATTTAATTTTTGTAAAAAAATTGTTTTACTAAAAACATACTAATTGTGTTTTGATTTGTGGGAATCAAATTTCCTGTTTAATTTTGCCTTTCTTCTAGTGCTAAGCAACTCTTACTAGCTTGCTTATGACATTCTTCATATTCAGATATTTTGTCTCTATTTTCAGCAGCATGAGGTAGATTTATCATCAAATTTTTTGTTTACAATTATGGTGAAGTGGGTAAAACTTCAACATATGTCATTTGTGTCACTTGTGAATCTTAGAATAATACATGGTTTTCCCACAATATTTTCAGTTTTTATTATCCCTCTCCCTCTCCCTCCCCCTCTCCCTTTCCCTCTCCCAAGTCTTTTCTTTTCATGTTCTTTAGGAGATCTACCTTTCAGGAACACAGTTGGATGTTCTTACCTCAGAAAAAATCTGTTTGCTCTTTGTTCTTGCTTACCTCTGGCCTGTACCTCAATCATCCAAAATTTTCCATCTCAAGGGACATGTTCTCAAGCTTATTATGCTTGCTTTAGAATACTAAGCACCAACTAGCTAAGATGTTCAATAAATGCATGCAATTATGAGAGAGCAAATGACTAGAAAGTAGTTATTTCCTCCTATCCAAGGTGCCATCCCTCCTCTTTTTGTCTTTTTTACTGAAGTTATTGGGGAATTTATCCTTGCATTTCAACTTAATAGTACTCTATAGGTGTGTCTGTTTTGTACCAGACATTATGCCAAGCAGAGTAAGATTACTCCCTGGCTCTTAGGAGGTCACCAGGTGGATGATTCTCACTATTGACATCGGCTTGGGCTGGAAGTGAGTGTAGTCTCCAGACAGGCTGGGAGTCTCTTTCAAATCATGCAGCAAAGTCTACCTCTGCTCAGGACCAGCTTAATTCTGCAGAAGCAATGGGCAAAAGAAACACAAATAGGAATGTTTCCCTTGTCTAAGGGTTCATAAAGCATATGAAGTAAGGTTAAGGCAAAGTTTAATGATGATTCCTACTGCATGCCTGCAACTTCTTGGGTCAGTTAATAGATACTGGGAGCTTAGATTTGGAAGCGCAAAGCAACGTTTGGTAAGCTAAATGGACCTTGATTACTATTTCGGGCCAAAATTATTAAAACGGCAGTGAACTAGAAGCTGACCATATGGCTTCAGTGCTGCTACTGTCCACAGACCTGTGGAGTAGCTGGGACAGGAAATGGGAGTTCTTTACTGATAACCCTGGGAAGATTAGTCTGTAAGGTGACAGGATTGGATGAGATGATATCTGAAGTCTCCATCCAGCCTGAACATTAATAGATCTTAATGCAGCCACCAAGAGATTAATAAAATTTACAGGAAGGGAATAGAGATATAAATCAAATTTTATCATATGTTAAAATTTAGACAAATATCATCATTATATGATTTGTATTTGTATATTCTCTGGAAGCAGTAGTCACAGCTTTGAAAATTTTTAATTATCATGATAATTTTTATGTTCATGGAACATTTTTTTCTAACTTACTAGTGTTTAATTCTATGGTTCTCACATAAGACTAGAAAGAGAGCAAAAACATAAAAATGTAGAACAAAAACACCCATCACCATTACCTCAAAAATTAATTCACCATTTATAATTCAGACAATTGGATTTTAAACTAAGTGACTAAATAGCCACAGATTAATGGATTATTAATACAGGTATTTAACTTGGAATTTAACAATTAAATCCACACCCTGTGGAACAATTACAAAGACATTTCTCTTGCTCAAACTTGAACTTGGCAGAGTTATTTGTATATTTTTGTTTCTTCTGGTAATTTCATCGATATTTCACATATCCTTTTTTCTTTTATATAAAAAGATTTAAAAGATATTATCACTTAATACATATTTAAAGATTTTCCTTTTTGAATAGAAGCCCAAATAGAAATCTAAAATGTCTTGAGGAAAATAACCCAGAAGTAGGTGATGGGAATTACTTACTACCTGCAGGTTTTGTGAATTTTCACTGAAAACAAATCATCCAAACCATCCACACTTTCATTAAATCTTTTATTCATTGTTGGCATAATAATATCCTAGAGGTGACAAAATATGGCAGTAGTGCTTGAACTAAATAAAAACGCCTCCTTTTGTTCTGAAACACTACTCGGAATTATACTGTTGGAGCATTAGTTCCTAGAAAGATGCAAGTAATTTTGTATTTCCTCTATCGCGTTGAGGGTAAAAAGTCAAATGTTGCTTTTAAGCTTCTGTATCTATCTTTTATAAAAACAAAATCTCTAGGATATAATATTACACGAATTGATTAATAAATAAGTACAGATAATTAAATATAAAAGACAAAGTCATTAAAAACCAGCAATTTAAAAATGTTGAAAAATTTAATTACATTTATTTAAAAAGTTTTGTATACATTTCTAGAATGTCAATTTTCTCCGATAACATACTGAAACTTGAGAATAACTTGTAGCCGGTACTGATGAATTTACCATCTGTTCTTTCTCCCACATTTTCAGTGAATGAAATAGATAAGCTAAATAAAGTGATTGTATAACTATTTTTAGTACGTAATTTATTATACATGCTTAGAGTCCAAATTAAGTAAGCAAGCGCGCGCGCGCGCGCGCACACACACACACACACACACACACACACATACACACACTGTACTGCACATAAAATGCCCTCCTTTTTTTTGCAATATCGTTACCAAAAAAAGAACTGCAGTACCTACTATGAAATAACATGTGTTTTCTGCCCTCTGCTGGTGGCTAGTAGAAATAACAACCTTAACATTTTTGGATCTTTTGGCTCTGAGTAGAATCTCTGAAAAAAAATCTTCACTTTGTTTCCAGAGCCTCCTCGCTGGAGAAAGAAACCTGAGAGTGGAGTGTACAGCACCGGGAGCAGCGGCATCTTGTTGTGTGAAGCTGAAGGAGAACCGCAACCCACAATCAAATGGAGAGTCAATGGCTTCCCGATTGGCAGTGAGTAAAACCTCCACTAGTAAAACACAAGGAAGAAGGGAGAGTGATTGGCTGGATAATTCATGATTAGACACCCTGATACTGTGCAAAAATGAGACTAGGACATTACTGTGTTGACAGAACAGATCTAACCAGGAGTCAGAAGTTGACTCTTTATGAGCAATTTGATCTTGAGACCTGATAACCATGGAAAAGCCGTAGTGTTTATAAGGTTAGGTGGTTGCATTAATTACTCGGAAAAATGAGGTTAAATAAAGCAGCAACTGAAGAGGCAAGAGGATGCTTCAAAGGTGGAGGCCCATTGTTGTCTGTCCCCCTAAGATGGATACAGTGACTGGCTGGTTGACAGCACAGTTGGGACGTCAAGACCTCTCTTAGATTCAGACAACAGCTCTCTCTGTCCTGGGCTCCAGGATATCCTCTGGTCACACTTTGCTTCATGATTTAAAAAAACCCAGAGACAAGGAGACATGCCCAGCTTGAGTCTGTGCTTCATACCTTACTATTCTCGACAAGTTCCAGTATCCATGATGTGAAATTTTCTTGTTCAGTCCTTTGGAGTCCTCTTCAGATGTAGTGGGAAGGCCAGAAAGGTCTAGGACTGAGGGCCCAATTTCCTTAGTTGTCCGTGCCCCAAAATGGAGCTCAAGTTCCCAAATCCTCAATTTGAACCCAGAACTCAGGTTATTTTTTAATGCATTTGTTCAGGCAGGAAGAGACAATATATTTTATGTGTCAGTTGATTAGCTTTACTGAGAATCAGTACAATAGTAGGTTATGTATATGGCTGCCATTTGTTCCTTGATCCAGGACTTGTACATGTTAGGTGGACCTCCTGGATGTCCATGGACCTGAGATCCTATCTAGGCTGTGTACTTGCCTTGCCTACCTTCTTAGTGATTCTTTCCAAGCTCAAGTTTTTAAAACTTCAAAATGGAGATAAAAATAGAGTCAGTCACCTAGGGCAATGATTTTTGTGTAAGCACTGTGGTCGTTTATAAACTCTGGAGCTAGACTTCCTGTGTTTGCATGTTGGCCATTTACTACCCTTATGATTGGGAATGTTAATGAGCCTAGAAAACCAATTTCCTCGTCAGTAAAAAGAGGAAACAAAAATAGCAGTAGCTCAGGGTTTTTATCTGAAAAAAAGAGGACACCACTCAGAGAAGGTTCAGCACAGAATCTGCCACAAAAGCAGCCAACTCAAAGCATTGTTTATTGTTATTATTTGCACATAATAAACCCTCAGGGAATCTTAGCACTCATTATTAATATCTTCAAATTTGAGACTTTTCCTCATTTCTTTAGAGAACAGAATGACAAATGAAAAAACGTGAAATCCATTTTTGTTTATAAAGAAAGCTAAGATTGCTAGAATAAGAAATGTAGAATCTCTGGAATGTACACAATTGTATAATTTTAAATTTGGCTGGTGCTTGTCTGTTTATGAGAGGCATTCACAAATTGGCAAAAGAAAATTACAAAAGAGGTACTAACATGTGAGCTTGACAAATTTGTTCATATAATGGTATTTATTGAGCACCTCCTATGTGTTGGGAAGTGGCTTATTGCTTGGGATGTAGCCGTGAATAAAACAGACATAATCCCTGCTCTACCAGATCTAATATTCTAGCAACTAGAGACAGTAATTAGACAAATAAGCCCATGAGTACACACTACAATGTGTACTAATATACAAAATAGCTAGGTAAGGAGAAGAGTGAAGGGAGAATCAGGACCTTGGTTTGCTATATTATTATAATATCATGTGAGAGTCTTGTGATGAGATACCTTTGAATTGAGACCTGAAGGAGGGAAGGAGTTCAACCATGCCAATAACTGCAAAAATACTTACCGGGCAGAGAGATCAGCGAGTGTACAGAATCCCTCTAATTTGTGTTTAGCTTGCTGAGAAAAAGAAAGGAGGCATTCTGACTGGGGCTGAGGGAGTGAGAAGAAGGCAGTGCTAGGTATGAGATCACCCACAGGTGAAGGCACCAGAGCTCAGATGAAGGTGAAGTCCATGTGGGGACTTGGGGTGTTTTCAGAAGTAGATGTGTACCTCTTATAAGATTTTAAACAGAAGGGTAGTGACATGATATCATTCATGTTTTCACATGTTTTGTGAATGGAGACTTTCCTATGTGACTATAGTCAGAGGCTATCTGAAAGATGCTGGAGCCTTGGGTTAGATATCAGTTGTAGTAGTGATCCTTGATTTATTCTCAAAGTAGAGCCAACAGGTTCGTTAATGGATGATAAGACCATGGCTGAAAATCAACTTCTGACAGATCTGGAAACAAAGTCACACCCTGAGATCCCAAGTTTGGTGTTCTTGCCACAACTCTTGAGTACAGCTCTCCGAGAGCCTCAGTATAGTCTGTGGTGTGTGATGACAGTGGGCTGACTAAAGGGTGTAAAATCTCTTTGAACTTATAGTTTTAGAAATTATATCCTAAAACTATAATATATGTCTTATTTCAAAATTCAAGAAAAATGAATACTGCTTTCCAATTTTACACGCTCAGCATCCGGTATTTCTGAAATGTACTGCAAGTTTAAAAGTATATATTTTATTATTCCAAAGTATGCAGATGTGGCAACTAAGGCTCACAGAGGTTATATTACTACCTTGAGGATATAATCCAAGTAAATTTAGAGCTAGAGATGGAGCCCAGAAGTGAGTTAAGTCCAAAGCACTGCTCTCTCCCTCTGTATTGCATTATTTTCCATCAATCTGTTGAAAGAAACATTGACAATTTCTGAATTATGTAAGGACTAGAATATTTTGCTTGGGAACATAAAAAAAACGTAGTTCCTTTGAATCCCCAGAACTACAATCTTCTGCCAGTATGTGGCATATTGTGCAATTTCCATGGCATTCCTGGAAGGCCAACTTGAGCAATGTGAGTTGTTTTTCATCTCAAACATGAAACCACAGTCTCATTTTTCCTTCTACAATGTTGTATAGATTCAGAGCTTGTCATGGGGCTAAAGGCAAAAGGAAAAACTAAAGGGGGTGACCTGGCTAACTCTATAAGGCTAAAGACTCTGAGTATGCAGCATGGGAGCACAGGATCAGATTAAACATTCAGGATTTTGCAGCACCCTGAGTTCAGACCTAAAGAACTTGAAAGAATTATTCATCTTGTTGATACTCAGAATAGGTGATAAGTTGTCCGAAAGTATTTTATTGGCTTTCTAATGTTGCTTTAATAAATTACCAGAAGTTTAGTGATTTAAAATAGTACACATTTTCTGTTTTGCAACTCTGTAGGCCAGAAGTTTAGCACAAGTTTTGGTGGGCTAAAATTCCGGTGTTATCAACGTTGTGTTCCTTCCTGGAGACTCTAGAAGAGAATCTCCCTTGCCTTGCCTTTTCCAGCCTCTAGAGGCTGTTTGTATTCTGTGGCCCAGAATGCTCTTCCTCCTTCTTCAAAGCCAGCAATATTGCATGTGTCTGACCTTTCTTTCCGTAGTCACAACTTCCTTTCATGTAGCCACAGCCAGGAAAGGTTTTTCTGACTTACAAACTGTATAGCTACACTGGGCCAACCCCAGTATCCTGGAGGATTTTCCAATCTCCAATCTCAACGGCTTTAATCTTAGTTACTTCTAAAATGTTGCTTTTTACATGTACAATATTATATTTACAAATTCTGTGGGTGAGCTCCTGGACATCTTTCATGTGCTATTTTGTTCTGCCTCCTTATGGAGATCCTTCTTCAATAAAATCCTGACCAATGTAATTTTTTCAGTAATTTGACCATATCTTTACTTTCTACCTGCTCTGTGATAGCTACTTCTCAAGAGCTGGGTACATTCCACACAACCACATAGACAAGGCACTGACCTTGGGAGTTCATAGTCAAGTGAAAAATGTCTTTATTCATGACTCCATGGGAAAAGAATACACAAGAAAAATCTCCTATTGATATATCATATCTCATGTTTTCTAAAATCTAAAATTTACTGATTATTTGGCACAAACTAAACACAATTAGAAAATAATATTGGTGATCTAATAATGTCATTTAAACTAGAACATTTTTTACATGTTTGCCCCTCACTCAACATTCCTAGCCAATATGCTTTTATTTCCACTGCTTTTTGTTGTTGTTGTTGTAGAGTCATAGCAAAGGCATGGGATTGGAGCCAGAAAAATTGCCAAATGCTATAGACAATATCATTCAGCTTTTCTGAAACTTACCTTCAAAACAGTTGTGTAAATGTTAATACATGAGGCTCTGAGAAGAGTCAACGAAATGGGCAACATACAACAGAGTTCTTTAGCTCTTAATAAATAAAGCAGGTATATTAGATGCTCTCATTATCAAAGATCATTCCATGATCAGGGGTAGGATAGAATTTATTGAAAAAAAAAATTGAAGACCTCCTTGCTATCAAGGAGGGTTTTTTTCTTGCTGGGAAAGTGCAAAATTATAAGCAATCTATCTGAAGTAGTTACACAATAAAGCAAGGCATATTAAATGAATGATGTAGAAGGGCTGAGAAATGAAACATGAACCTAAGTGTCAAAGGCGAAAGCTACAACCAGTTTTGGTAGATTGGGAGGATCACTTTGTGTTGCCCATGCGCTTTGTGCTGTGTAAAATTCAGATCTAAATTCAAAAGAGTAAATGAGAGTCAGTTCATAGTGGAAGTTGAGTACCAGGCAGATAATTTGGAATCTTATTGTGAGTAGAGATACAGAGAGGCAATGAGCTGTTTTATAGATCAACAGATATTCTGACAATAAATGTTAATTTGAAAGAAGACTGAAAATATAAAAGGATCTGAAAAGAAAAGTCCATGGTTGATGTTAAGAAAGCCTATAAATTGGCTTCAGTGAACTATTATTCACCCTAACCTGGTTTTAAAATATGAATACTGTGTGACACATTTAATAAATGGTATATAAATATTTTATCTCCTATTCTTTATCATACTGACATTCTTTAATCACTTTCAGATCATCTATTTGCGGGTGATGTTGTCTTCCCCAGGGAAGTTAGTTTTACCAACCTACATCCAAATCATACTGCTGTGTACCAGTGCGAAGCCTCAAACATCCATGGAACTGTCCTTGCCAATGCCAATATTGATGTTGTAGGTGAGCACACCTAAGAGTAGAATAACTCATTCTTTTCTGAAGGAAAATCCTTAGTTGCGACTAGTCACAAACACCAGTTGAATGCTTGGCATATAAAACATAGGCCAAAAAAAATGATCTTTCACTTTACATGTGGACTTAATGCTTCACAGTGAAATTTTACTTTCAGAATGTATTGAGTTTAGACACTTTTGAATTTAAATCATTGCACTGTAATATTTAGCTGTCTTCCATTTTTGTCCATATGGTGAGGACATAGAAATTTTTATACGTAATATATTATTAGTTTTTTCATGAATCTTTAAAACTGTATTTTGTTCCTTTTGAATAGATGTTATTCCACTGATACAAACAAAAGATGAAGAAAATTATGCCACTGTGATTGGGTACAGTGCTTTCCTACATTGTGAATACTTTGCCTCACCAGAGGCAATAGTGACTTGGTAAGCTGCCATGCTGTTTTCTTAAGAGAATGTCTCGGGTAGATTTTGCCTTGTTTCTTCATTCATCATTTGATGGGTTGCATTGTATCCATGTTGTTATATGGAGTCAGTACCTCTGAGAAATAAGGAAGCAAACTTAATAGCCTGTCTCTCCTGAAAACATTGGGTAGGTTTCTAAGATTTTCTCACATGGTGAAAAAGCAAAAGTCATTTGTATTCATAAAGAAAAGTAAAGATTTAAAGTGACTCCTTAGATAATTTTAAAGATAGATTTGATTTTTAATTATGGGGAAATATAAGGTCATATTTTACTTTACTGTTGTCATTATCTAAGCCAGCATTTAATTCCAAACACAGATGTTGAAACTTTATCAACATTCATTTTGCTTTTCATTTCAATATTTTAATTGGTGTACTTAGTCCAAACACATTATCTGATGAATCTGCTATATTGGTTACTTTACTCCAAAAGATTCAACTGCTGTTGGATAATTGTGCCATTGCTCTGTAGGACACGGCGTAGTGTGAAGTGAAACCAGGGCATGAAAGTGCAGAGTCAGATCTTGTCTATACTTAAAATTGAAGTTGTGATATTTTGTTCAGCATGTTATTTTTGCATTTTTTAATTTAAAAATATTCCAGTAACTGAGGTGTGGTAGTGCATGCTTGTAATCTCTGTACTCTGGTGGACTGAATCATGAGAATCACAAGTTTGACCCTAGCCTTAGCAAATTAATAAGACTCTCAAAATTAAAAAAAAAAGTTTAAAATGGGTAAGAAATGTAGCTCAATGTGAAGAACCTGGGTTCAATTCCCAGTACTGGAAAAAAAATCTAAGATATCATTGATGCTTCTTATTTAAATGTTGAGCACCCTCCACAGTTTCACTTATGAGGAAAGCTCCTCTCTCCCTTTAGCCTGGACTCCACCCTGTGAAAGCCTCTGAGCAGCATCCACAGTTTGCCCTTTGCAATTTGGAGTTCAAGCAGTCACATGTTGTGAAATGTGCAGAGTGAATCAAGTAGTGACAAGAAATACAAGGAAAATGGATGAGTATAGAAGAAAATATTTCTGGGGTTGATAGAATAAATGTAATCCACTTCCACAAAAGAAGTAAAACTTCCTGCCTTATAATATTTCTGAATGACCAGTGTTCTCCCAGGACAGCAGGAGGTTTATTATTCCTTTCAATTACTGGCTTTCCTATTTAACACGCTGGAGGAATCATTAACTAAAGAGTTCAACACCAGTAAGGCAGAAAAATTTATTAATCTCTGAAGACAGATGCAGAATGATGCTGACAGCTATGAGGAAGACACCTGAAGTGTAGAGCAGAGATTGGATTTCTTTGAGCTGCAATTTATCTGAGCAGAAACGATATATATCCATGGCCAATTCTGAGGAGGTGTAAAACCCAGTGGAACATTTCAAAAGGTTTGCAAAGCTCCTGAAGAAGAGATGAGTCCAAATGACTTCAGTGACAAATAACAAAAGAGTTTCCAAACCAGCCCCACTCCAAATTTATTTTCGCTTTGTTTCCCTTCCCCATAGGCAGAGGATGGATGAAGCACAAGCCCTTGAAGGCAGGCGGTACCGTATCCATGAAAATGGTACATTACAGATCCTTGGAACCACCGAAGAAGATGCAGGGTCATACTCTTGTTGGGTAGAAAATGCTATAGGAAAAACTGCAGTCACCGCCAATTTGGATATTAGAAGTACTTTTATTTCATTTTTATTTTGCATGGATTGAGTCTGTCTTCCTTTCCCCAAATGAAACAGCCTGATTGAAGTTTGAGTTGCTGTTAAGATTCTTTAGATCCTTTCTCAAAAGTTATAGATTGCATTTCATCTAAATGACTGTAGTAAGCATGACAGGGTATGACGTGTCCATGATGTTAAAGAACTGTAAGAAAGATTTCGGTATTGGATGGCCAGGACCATTTAAAAGTTCCCTATTACACTTATTAATTGGTGTCTCTTGGCATAAAATTGATGTTTTTATTTTAAATTAAAAATTAGGGGAGAATGTTTAGTAAAACATACACTTATTACTATTAATTGAATGTAGCAGTGTCTTTAAACTTTATGTCTGGGACTTCAGGTAATTAATTTATTAACACTTTCAGTTTTAATTATTTCCTTAAGAGAATTTTAGATAGTGTATCTTAGATGCAATTTTGGAATTAAAGGTCTAGTCTTGTGATTTTGGATCTAGGGTCTCAGATAATGGATTAAAAGTATATTTATGTTATTAAAAGCTGGATGTGGTGGCACATGCCTGTAATTCCAGCCTTCTGGGAGGCCGAAATCGCAAGCTTGAACCTAACCTGGGCAACTTGCCAATTTAGGAGGATGCTGTCTCAAAGTTCAAAAATGTAGAAAGAGCTGGGGAAATAGCTCAGTAAAAAGGCATTGTGTTCAATCCCCAGTTCCACTAAAAAAAAATTAAACATTAACCTTAAAGAGTAACGACTATATGTTTTGAAGAGATCATAATGAAGCTGATATTTTTGAAGGTAGCCTTAATGCCAATATTTGAGCCTCATGTCATTGATACTAATTTATTTTTATGAACTACAAGTAACATTCACTATAGCTCATTCAACAAGAAATTCAAATATGTATAGAGTGCCTCATGTAAGCTCTCTTCTAGGAGCTGTGATCTGCTGGGTAACAAACAGGCAATGACTCTACTTTCATGGAGCTGACTTACTAATTCCTACCTTCATGCTGATAGTTTGTGCCTGTATTTTAGCATTTAACCTCAGGTTTTTGAATTAATAATAAATATGCTGATAGAAAATCAAGTAACTTTTTTCTCTTACATTCCAATGCTTTAATTATATACTTAGAAGCACTGAAAGAAGAAAGTATATTATTTTCAACTGCTAGAGGCATTTTCTCACACTTTGACTACTCTCTTTGCCCAAGAAATTCTAAGAAAAATGACTAAACTATTAATTGAGACTTGCATCCAACTTTGTCAGATGTCTATGTCTGCATAGAAAGAAAATTGTAATGATATTTGATGTCAGGAAATTACACTGGAACAAATCTTGAATGAAGATTTGAGCATAACATTAATAACTTTGGTTGCAGGCACTTGGTATCAAAGTAAGCTGTGCTTTATGTTCCTAACTAATGTATTTATTTGTTGAAAACAGATGCTACAAAACTTAGAGTTTCTCCTAAGAATCCTCGGGTCCCTAAATCACACATTCTTGAGTTACATTGTGAGAGTAAATGTGACTCACATTTGAAACACAGTTTGAAGCTGTCCTGGAGTAAAGATGGAGAGGACTTTGAAATTAATGGTACAGAAGATGGCAGGTAGGTAAAGTATCATGGTAGGTTATAATATGAGCTTGAGTTTAAAACCTTACATTTAAAAAGTTGCTAAAAGTGCTCATATTGGATAAAATACAAAAACTGATTAGTACATTTCAGTGTTCAAGTCAATTTTTAAAAGGTCATACAGTACTTACTTCACTTTTCTGTCACATGTTTATCTTCTTGTTTTTGCTGCTGAATTTTCATACAGCATATATCATCCTTTTAGGGCATGAAGCAGAAGCCGTTCCAGGTAACTGAGGCAGATGTACTGCATGGGCCTAAGTGTTCACAAAAGCCTGGGAAAGACTGGAGGAGCTAGGCCCAAGGGGTGCTGCTTAGAAATCTGTTGGTTCTTAATCACATAGCACTGCAGTTTTTGTGATCTAGGTCTCTGAAAACACCTGATGTTCTCACAGCTACCTCTCCCCATTAGTGCTACTGATCAGTCCTGCCACTATCCCTCCTGTGTTTGCCAGAGCCCTCATCTGGCACTGCCTTTGAGAACATGACTTCCTCCTAGTGTCACATGAGTTCTCCCCTGTAGCAGAACCTTAGGTGTATCTGGAGTCCTGCCTTCCAGAAAGTATTGACAGTGAAGCCCTCACTGTATATCTGTGGAGCTTTGGTTCCAGCTCCCCCTCCCTGAGATACCAAAATGCATGGATGCACAAATCCCTTATGCAAACTGTGTTGCATTTATCTGTAACCTATGCCTGTCCTCCTGCATACTTCAAATCATCTTTCCATTACCAATCATATTTAGTAATCATTATACAGTGTTGTATAGGGCATGATCACAAGCAATATGTCTGTACATGTTCAATATAGACTCAGATTTCCTGGTTGAATCCAGGAATGCAAAACCCCTGGATTTAAAGAACTATGTGCATGTCTTTGAGTTTTCTAACCCTTATATAAAGAACACAGGGAAAAGGCAAAAGAGAAAATAAAGAAAAATATGAATAGATGCAAAATAGTACTAGACAATATGAAGTTCATCAAAGAGAGAAAAGAATCAGAAAAATCAGAATGCCTACTCTGTCTTTGCAAGCCTCTAGAGGTCAGCTTTGCTTCTTTTATTACTTTGCTGTATTAGTAAGAATTAAAATTTTATCATCTTGTAACCAAATCTCATTTCAGGTTAGGTTTTGCTATTCATTACTGTGAAAAAGTAAATCTGAAAATCTTTAGATAGGATATGCATGCCTTACATGAGACCAGGGCACAGTCCTGATTAAAAGCCTGCACCCATACTCAGTGTTATGGGTTCAAACCTCAGCTCTGTCATGATTCACATCTGTGCTCCCAATTTGCTTAATGTGTCTATGCCTCCATTGTATGTTCTATGGCTTTGTCTGATGAAAAATATTAAAAACATGACTTCATCATTAGGATATTGTGAATTAACATACTAAACACTTAGAAAATACTAAATACACACTCCTTTTTCATTATTATTACTTGTACTACCCATTTCCCAGTCTGCTTCTCTCATTTCTGCTGCTTGCTTGACATTTATCACTATTGGTATTTGTGTACACAGGTGGGTGCACACTAATGCACCATCACTATCCAACGGCATTAGTCTCAGCCTTTATACTAATTTATTCCCTCCTATCCTTTCTATGTATGTAAAGGTTTGTGCAAAGCCAATATATGTATTGCAACTATATTGAAATAAGAAGGGATTAATGCATGCCTGCACTTTGCATCAGAGATCTTCATCCTTACATTATGCTCAGATTAGTTCTAAATTTATCTGTCAGCTATTGAGATTTTCGTAAATTCTCCTTTTTTGTCACTATCACCTGGTTACTGAGGCCTTCCGTGTAATCTCTGGGCTATCACCTGGAAGAGAATCAGAGGCCCACACTTTGTACCTCACTGTGACAGGCACATTTAGGCTCTGAACTCAGCAGCTCTGGCCACCATCTGCTTGTGGCCTAGTTTTACTGTTTCTCCATAATGTTGTTGACACTGAACTGTCCTTCTGGCTATCTGAGTGGACTGAGCAAGTCACTCAAGTGTTCTTCCAATTGTCCTGAGCAAGTACTGGGGGTGAGGAACAGTGACCATAGCTAAAGTAGGCTTAGGAATGAGGAGGGAGGGGAATGACTGCCGATCGCTGGTCTTGACTGCTGCCCCGAATCGCCCTAGAGTTGTGATCACAGATTTCTGCTAAATTTCTAGAGGACCATCAGTAAGTCCTGCTTTCCAACTTCTGCTGAGGCACCATCTCCTTATTCCTAGTCAGGGAGCCAGAAGCTTTGGCTGAGAAAGACATTAAATTTCATATCCAAGGTATACAGAAATAACAAGAAGGGAAAATTCTTGCCTTTCATGTGTAGGGCTATGGTAGGTGTTTGGAATTGTCTCTCTGGCCCATGGGGTGCCTCATTGTGGTATCAGTACTTCCCATGTTTAACTTTCCTCAGTAAGCCTCCTGTTTGGTCCTATTAGCTTGGCTGGAATGAACCCAAGGAATTTTTTGTGAATTTCTAAACAGGTGGCTATAAACCACACACTTGTGATGAAAAACTCAAATGAAGAGCTTGAATGTGAAGGAATTCTTAAACTTCTATTGTGTTTACTAAGGGCAGTGGAGACTGTTTATGACCCAGGAGCCAGCTCTGCAGGAGGGGTGCAGTGACTTGAGAGGGATGGATGGTGAAGAGGCCAGGACTCAGAGGGCATGGGAGGAAAAGGGGAATGGCGCACGGGCTTGAGGGCTCTGTCCTCAGCACCAGGAAAGAGTGGACCTTTTCCCTTCAGAAACAGTAGCCAATAAAAAGAGAAAATATGAAGGGGAAGGGAGAGGAGAATATAAAGATTATAAAGTAGTAATAATGAGGAGACTCTTCCTAAGAAGTCATGAACTAAGTATTTGATTTCACTGAAGCAATTTTCTGTAATTTGAACTTCTCAAAGTTTACAAGTTTTACCTTAAAATTTTAAATTATTTAAGAGACATTCTTCCTCCCTTCCTGCAAGGATGACACTATTTACATTATTTCAAGTAAATAGCCATTGCTGTGAAAATATTTTAAATTTAATGGAATTTAATTTAAAAATTATGTGAACAGCTATGTTGATAATACACAGGTATAGTGTAAAGGGTATAATTTATAAAGCAATTTTCATGTAGTAAACTCTATTGCAAATTGGCAAAAATAAAACAAATGATAAAAAGCTACATGAAATGATTTGCAAAAAGAAGTGCTGTACTGCCACCTACTGTTCAAATAAGTCACATAGCTTGTGATCACAACATTACTTCTTAAAACGTAGAGAGACAGAGAAAAGAGAAAACTGTGTCAAAAATAGAGATTATCAAATTTCTTACAAATATTTTGATTCTGTGGAGCAGGGGTTGGATTCAGAAATCTGCTCTTGTAAGATGCATTCCAGTCAATCCTATGTAGGGTTTCGTACTCATAATTTAAAATTATTCAAATAAATCTTAGCTATTGTAAAGTGCAGTGTACTTCTTAGATGTGACAGGCAGTACACAGTTCCATTCTGGTCTCTGTATCACAGATAGTTTGATTACATGTTTTTAATGTGATCTCATTTATGGCTAGGTAGACATTACCATATATTTGAATAATGCTTTCCCTCCGGTTCCCAGCTGCAGCATTCTTTAATGAAATTTGTATTATGTGAAGTTTTTGTATGACTCTTCCTTGCATCTTTTTCCATGGGAAATATACATGTTTGAAAGGATTACGTTTCTGGTGTTTCTATCCTCTTTACATTCTATCTTTTTTCATCTGATAGGATAGTTATTGACAGAGCTAACCTGACCATATCTAACGTGACTTTAGAGGATCAAGGTGTTTTCTCCTGCTTGGCTCAGACTGCTCTTGATAGCATTGCTGAGGCCACCCAAGTAACTGTCCTTGGTAAGTCCCTTCTTTTGTTTTTCATTTTTTAGATTAATTTAATTGGTACACTTTTCATATACATAATGATCACATTCATCATAGGGAACTCATACCTGTATATAATGTATCTTGGTTCCTAACTCAAGAAAATTCTCTGTTCATGTCTTCTCCACTGCTGATTAAGTTCTGTTGTTCCATTGAGATAAAGCCAATAATTATTTGAGCTCTTGGATATATATATATTGATAGTTAGAATTTTTTGTTTAAAAATAGACCCCACTTTCAAATGCTTTCTCCTTTTCTCATGTAAAAGAAGTTAATTAATACTTAATTCTTTTCTCTACGTGGGTAAGTTTGTCAGTAGCAGTGGGAGGGAAGTGATGCTATCAGCAGAAAAATAAATGAAGCTTGCATGAGTACCTAGGGCTGTTGAGCTACCCTTTGTTGGTGTGCAGAGAAGTGGGGATGAGGAGAGGAAATGGGCTAGACTGGATTCCAGGAGAGAGTCCATCAATGGACATACCATGGTCATGCCCTCCACCAGACCACAGGCTCAGCTTCCAGGGTTCTAAGAAAGGTAGGGAGGAACTTCAGGCTTTCTGCAAAGAAATGCTTTTGTTTGTTTTGTTTGTTTTTACTGTGTGTGTGATAATGCTAATTAGAAAACTGCATATTTCACTACAGTGATCAATGCAATTACCCCTGAAATCACCAACATTAACAGCTTTGCACCATCTGCTGCATGTTTTCCAACTTCCTATCCAGCTCTTTGACCTGGAAACCCATCCTATAAGACAGCATCAGCAAACCACTTGCCCTCTAGCTTTCATTTGGTGTGGCCCATGGGTAGCCCTGGGAGTATCTGAGGTTAGGGATGTTCATTCTGCTCCCTTCCTCCCCAAGGCTGGCTATGTCCCATTGCTGAAACTATAGCTCCTCCAGGGAGGCTATCTCCACGCAATTCCTCCTGATGAGATTCTGGTAACTGCTCTCCCATTACAAATATTTCAAGTGACCCCTACAGCCAACCCCTGGACATCCTGTTCACATGGTTTTAAGGAGTCCTTATTAAAAACTATTGAAATATCATACATGCATGAGTTTTCTTCTTGGTCTCTGAAGGCTGCAGATGTCATGACAGTTTCCATTTGTTCTGGTTCAGATAGAGCCACTTAGTCTTTCTTTTAATTTGCTAATATTTCTTAAAACCACTTGCTTTCAGTTATGCTCCACTGTTGTATATCTGAATTAGTCATTGTAATGAATAGGACTTTGTATCTTTAGTATTCTGGTTGCTGGAGTCAACAGGTAATTACTAAGGGGAAGCAGGCTTAGGAGCAAAAATTGAGTCTCTTTGAAGTTAGGTGGTGAAAAATGAGTCAATAAGTTGAATTTCTTCAAGTAAAGCCAATGGCCACCAGGTTGGGTTCTATTAGAGAAAAAAAATCAGACATATGAGTTTGACTTAAGACAATATCTTTACGCAAGATATAAGATTGTACAAGCAGAAAAATGTAATACTTTGGTGATTATTCCAACAGTAATTCACCAGATAAAATAGTTGTATATCAAGTAAACTGGAACTTACTTCAGGCAGCACAAGGAAAGGGTATAAACTGGATCCACAGACTTTGCCACCAAGTGTTTGAAATAATGGCACCAACAAGGGGATTGGGTTTCTACTATGTGGTGCTCACCTTCTCAAATTCCTTGCAAAACTTAAATTGCATTCTTTTGATTAACATACCATTTTCTACCCCCATTAAATTTTGATAATTTTAAATAAATTGTGATTGTGATCATATATACTATTTATATGCAATCTACTAAACATTTTAGAATAGTAGTTTTTTCTTGTGACACTGGGGAATGAACTCAGGTCCTGTGCTCTGAGATCTCTTCCCATCACCATTTTTAATTTTTATTTTGAGTCAAGGTGTCTTTAAGTCATTCAAAAGCTCTGTAATCCTGTTTATGAGATTGAGCTCCTTACTCAGCCTCTCAGAGTGCTGGAATTACAGGTGTTGTGCCATCATGCAAAATACTTTTTGGAGAATATTTATAAGATAAGATGTGTTTTTAAAACCCCATCCTTGGGGCCAGGGATTTAGCTCAGTGGTTCCACCGCATACTTCGTAAGCACAGGGTCCTGAGTTCAATCCCCAGTAGAAAAAACAAAAAACAAACAAACAAAAAAACAAATCATTGAATTTACATTCCAATTCTTTTAATCCAATTTCTAGTTTTAAAAATGTCATATTTCAACAGTTCCTAATAATAAATGATTATGGACATGTAGTTTATAAAAGACTTTTTGTGCTGGAAAATCTTTTTTTTTAAAGCCATAGGCTCAACCTACTTTGATCAGAAACTATTTTCAAAAGCCTTAACATAATGCTTTCAGAGAAAATTTCAGTTCCAAGTTTATCAGTACTAGCTCCATGTGATTCACAGAGGATTAGGTTTTAATCTCAGATTAATTTCTTCTAGAAACTTCAGAACTATGTGGACTTTTAGTAAATGATGAAAATAAATCTTTAAGCTCTCCGAGCTCAGAAACTCAAAACCCTTTTAAAGAAATACCTTCTTCTTAAAGGTCCTAAAATTTAGACACAATCATGGACCATACATTAAAAATAAACATATTCTATTCTTAATGGGAAATAGTGTTTTTCATCAGTGAGAATCTTCAACAATTGGCAAATATTCAGCAGAGCCCCTAGATGGTTCTTTCCATTGAGAGAGAAAAAAGCCCACTGGAAGGACATACTTGGTAGCACCTTTATTATTTCTTTTGAGCAAAAATAACTGTCCTAGAGTGCTTGAGAAAACAGCAAATTTTGGAAGTAATGACCATTTGAGATTAATTTCATTTTATTCTTGCTTTTATTTTATAAGTGCTGGAAATGTCCAGGTACTCTAATGCTAAAGTATTTGGCATCTCCTACTTATTTTCCACTTTCTTTCTCAACATTGAGCAGTGACAGACCTCCCTCTTCCTGTATAAACTGCCTTCCTATTTGTCTTCGGATTCCAGGCCAAGCAGCATGAATGTTGCTATTAAACTTGAGAATTAAAATGAAAGTCCAAAGTACATGTGGGAAAAAAAGGGTAGAGTCATGTTCCCCATCTTACTTTTCTAAAATCACAGGATCTAATTTTTATTGCTTTCATATAATTAAATTCACCACTTAAGTGACATTATATTTTTCACTTATTTATTCACCAAATACTGAAGTACAAGGCACTGTGAGCAATGCAATGATAATAAAATACACTCTCTGATCTTGAAGATTTTTTTTAACCACAGGAAGAATAATCATGTATATAAATGATTATGAGCTGAAGAAAAGTAAGTGATCCATTTGAAATACATCTCCAAGACCTCAGTCTGCATAATTATGGGCAGGGAACATGTTTACAAATGCAGATCTCTAGGCCCAGTTCCTTAGGTAAAACAGAGATAGTGTGCAGAAAACATCATTCTTAAAAATTATTGCTAAAAGAATTCTGATGCCCCACAGAGAGTCAAAGGTAGCCCTTGAAAACTGTTACCAGAGAAGGGAAATTATATGGCCACCTCGGGGATGGATCTGAAGGATCTTGCATTTGAGATAGTAGTTGTAGGACAAGTGAAATGTGAATAAATTGGGGTGGAGACCTATGACTGAAGAGGCAGAGGAACGGACAATGTGTCTGAGGGAAGGAATCAGAGAAACTAAGGAAATGATCCACATTTTCCTTACTTTTATCTTTCATTGTTAATTAGATGTTCCAGATCCACCCAGAAACCTTCAGTTGTCTGAAAGACAGAACAGGAGTGTTCGGCTGTCCTGGGAAGCTGGAGCTGACCACAACAGCAATATTAGTGGTAGGAAGACTTGGAATAACTATTTTCTTTACCCAACAGTATTAAAGTTGATTTTATAGCCATTCTTAACTACTCAGTAGATTTTTTCTTCAAATACTCTTTTAAACTTTCAATATTATGTATATAAATCCTAATGTAACTTAAGCATACTCCTTATGTTCTAATATTTTGTCTATGTTTTTTTTCTGCCAGAGTATATTGTAGAATTTGAGGGAAACAGAGAAGAACCTGGAAGGTGGGAGGAATTGACTAGAGTCCAAGGAAAGGAAACTACAGCCTTATTACAGTTAGCTCCATATGTGAGATACCAGTTCAGAGTCACAGCCGTAAATGAAGTGGGGAAGAGCCACCCTAGCCAGCCCTCTGACTACCATGAAACACCACCAGCAGGTATGCAGCTTCCCATAACAGGTTTCCAGTAAACTCTTTTATTTTGAATATGTTTTCAAAAATTATAAGTTAGCTTAGGATGTTAAATGTCTGTAGTATGAACAGTTCTGTTACAACAAATAAAATATTCAAAGTATACGAGGCTCATAAGTATTAAATACTTGTTTGGTAGAAAGCAGGAAATTGGAGGGAGGAGGTGCTAAATGAGGAAACATTACTATGAATACTTTCCAACAGCTGAGCATGGTGTTTAAACCAAGTATTATAAAGTAAATTCTGTATTAATGTTCAAAATATAGTGAAAGTCAACGATTCAATTTTCTGAAATAAAACTTTTAACTCATTAGCAATACCTAGTTAGATTTTCCATGTGTGTAATATTATTTATTTCTAATTCTATATTTAGTATTTTTCTATCTCCACATCTACCTAAATTGCCTGCTTTTTAAAATCTCAAATATTATAGTGATAAAATAATTTGTGTTACTGAACTGACTCTGGCATCAGTGTGGTCATGAAATGATATTTGTTGTTTTCTGAGGCTAGGATATAAATTACTTTTTAGAGTGAGAATAAATGAGTTGAAATAAACTGATTTAGATACTTCTATGATTTTTAATGTACATCAAACAGCGCTAAACTCCCTGCTTAGCTATTACTAATAAAATGGGTCAATCTGAATATATTTCATGGTTACGGACTGCTTTCTATTTGATGTTCCTAAAACTTGACTGTGGATGTTAATACATAAGGTTTAATTTTGTTCTCTATCATATCGTCATGTGTATTTCTATCAGCAGAATTCTAACAGAAAATGTTCAGTAAGTTTAAACTGAAAACACACTTTTAAAATCAGGTTTAGAAATGTAGGTAGCAGGTAAATAGATAGATAGATAGATAGATAGATATAGATAGAGAGAGAGAGAGAGAGAGAGAGAGAGAGAGAGAGAGAGAGAGAGACATAGACATCATTACCCAGTGGGAAATAATTATATAACTCTAAAATATTATTTTATTCCTGTAAGTTACATGTATATTTAAAAGCTGCCTTAGATATCTTTCAATAACTGTAAAATTTCAAATTAATAAATACAATTGAATTTAGTTAAATATCTGGGTTTGGAGGGAGTACTATGATGATTTACTTGTTTGTTACTATACAATGACAAAAATATTTTTAACACTTGTCATTTTTCAGCTCCAGAAAAGAATCCACAGAACATAAGGGTTCAAGCTTCTCAACCCAAGGAAATGATTATAAAATGGGAGGTGTGTATTCCTCAATATGTTATGTATTAATTTGTGCTTTTTTTCCTTCCTTTTTATTCTGCATGCCATGTACAATGACAGAAGATTATTTCAAAACACAAATTGGGATTTGGAGGTGAAAATAATTTGTGAGTTGTCACAAGTGTATATTTTAAAGATCATTGTGATTAGAATAAGCTGTGAAATAGAGTTTAATATTGGTAAATAATTTGAGGAAAGTTATACTGGTTAATTTATTTGGAATCTGTTCCCAAACATTTCAAAATCACAACAATTTTATTAACAATATTTTAGACGCTCTCCCATTCAAATACTAAAAACCATTCACAATATGTTTTACTAGGTATTATGCAAAAGGATAACCTTCAAATAATAATCATCATTTATTTACCTTTGTAAGTATTTTGCTCATTCATTTCTAAATCTGAAAATAACCTTGTCAAGAACATATCACTAACACATTGTTCTCAATTTGAAAACTGAAGTCCAGGATGATGAATGTCTTCCTCATCCCCTTAAAACTAGAAATTAACAAAGCCAGGATTTAAACATGAGTGTATTTGGACTTTTTTTTTAGTTACTTTCTCATTGCCTGGCCAAAATACCCGACATCAACAAGTTAAAGGAGGAAGGGTTTATTTAGTTCACAATTTGTACAGGTTTCAGTCAACAGTTAATAGACTGCAAGGCAGGGCAGTATGGCAGACGGACTTCACAGAGGAGAAACAGTCCATGTCAGGGTAGACAGAAAGCAGTAGAAGCAAAGCAATCCTCCTTTTCCCTATTATCCCTTCCAGGCTACAGGCCTTTTGGATGGTGCTACCCACACTATGGTGGGTTTTCCCATTATCCACAAACAGAACTATGCTAACCCTATCAGTGAACTAATTTAGTATCACACTCAATCTGTATTCACATACCCTTAATCCACATTCACACACCTTAGATCTAACCACTTCTGAAAATCCTCACCTGTGCACACATGAGGCTTTGGGGGAACATCTGGATACAAGCCATAACAAACTTCAAGTTCTACTTTCCCTCTTGTACATATTCCTCTTAAATATTATTAAACAAACTTTACTCTTTGAATTTGATGAAACAATTTATATCTATTGAGATAACTTTAATTATTTTAGTGTTGTTTCCATATTTCTTCTGTAACAGAGGAAAACTGCATTTGTCTTTTAAAGCTTACCCATATTTTATGAGCAAGTATATAGACATGAAGGAATGTAAATTACTATTCTATCATCTGATTAATAATAGGCTTCCAACATTGAGTTCATTGAATCTTGCATAGACATGGTACATTTTGTATACTAATTTAATATACTAATATTAAA